CCGGAAGTACGCGTATGGGAGACTATTCTATTGCTGCTGGCCAAGCGGGGTTGGCAGGTCATTTAAATATTGGAAAAGGGGCACGCATTGCCGCACAGAGTGGTGTGATGCGTGATATTCCAGATGCTGAAACAGTTGCAGGGACACCTGCAGTTCCTGTAAAACGATGGCATCGTCAAAACGTTGCCCTCTCAAAGCTTGTGGGTTTGAAAACAACAAGGAGTCGTTCATGACTGCAAATGTTGCACAAAATATTCAGGAAGAGCCTGTGGAAACTTTTAATATAGAACAGATCCAAGAGCTCATTCCACATCGATATCCTATGCTATTTGTGGAGCGTCTTGAGATTATAGAGCCTGGCGAAAAAGCAGTCGGAACGAAGTCTGTTTCTATTAACGAGCCATTTTTCCAAGGGCACTTTCCTGGGGCACCTGTTATGCCTGGTGTTTTGGTTGTAGAAGCATTGGCACAGACTGCAGGCGCTTTGGTGACACATACATTAGGGGGGCGTAAAGACGGACAAGTTGTTTACTTTATGTCCATTGAAAATGCACGTTTTCGTAAGCCTGTGATGCCTGGCTGCCAGCTGAAGCTTTGCGTTGAAAAAGCCCATTCTCGGGGGATGGTCTGGAAGTTTCAGGGGAAAGCAATGGTGGATGGAAAAGTTTATGCGGAAGCTTTATTCACAGCCATGATTTCCAACAAAATTGAATCTTAGTTTAGTCCCTATTTTGTCTCTAATTATGCTATGGGTCTTACACGGATGGTTGTAGCCTTGGGTATTTGAGTCTTATATTTTTTGACCTATTGAGTAGAGGACTTGCTTCTTATTTTTAAGAAGTTAAAAGCATTACATGTTTGAGACTAGCCTATAGCAATCAGGGTCTTATATTTTGCGAAATGATAAATGTTTTCTTTGTAGAGCGCCTAAATCAAGATTTTATGATACATTAATCAGACGAGGGAAAGTGTAAGAGGAGAGGGAGATGGGTGCGGAGAAGAAACAAGGCGTTCGGAAAACTCAAAAGGGGGCTTACCCTCTAGGGCTTACTCCCTTACATAAAATATACTATAGTGCATTCATCATTTTTTTAGGAGGAAGGGTTAATGATGGAAGCCTTAATGAACAGTTACTTTA